ATTTTTAATTTTGTGAACTACAGAAAGGTGTTTGTTAAGGATAACAATCAGTTATTTGGTCCAAGATATGTAGGGGTGTATCACAGGGTGGTGTATTGAGCCCATTGCTTTTTATCCTAATCATACATCAGCTAAATTTAACTCTAGGGTGTGAAGTTTCTAATCTGCAGTTTGCAGATGATTTAGTTGTTTATTGCTCTGATACAAAGTTTTTTACGTGTACAATCAGTCCTCAATGTTGCTCTCCAAAGACTAAAGAACTAATTTGATAGCCTTGGGCTGGAGGTCAACAATGAAAAAAGTAAAGTTTTGTCTTTTCAAAAAATGGAATTAGAAATAGGAATGTAAAAATTTGTTCAATAATAATGTAAAAAATGTTGGTGTTATTTTTACAAACAATTCTAGATGGATTAAGTATGCTAAAACTCTAGAATCTCAAGCTTTAAATGCTTGTAATCTTTTAAAATCTTTAACAAGCACATATTGGGGTGCTGATCCAAGGATTCTATTAACATTGTATAAATCATTAGTAAGGAGTCATTTTGAATATGCTTTTTTTTGTTTTGCAGGGGTAAGAACTATAGTAGACAAATTAGAAAAGATACAAAACAAATGTTTGCGTATTATAATGGGTGCCATGCGAACTACTCCCATAGTGTCAATGCAGGTGGAATGTAATATACCTCCATTAGCACTTAGGTTTAAATACTTACAATCAAAATTTTTCGCAAAGTTGCTCTCCATTAGTAACCATCCACTTCTTATTAAACTGCGGGACACTATTAATTAATCCATATTTTTTTCACGGTTTTTCTGGAACAGATTAAATTGTTAATAAACACAATATTTTTTCTAGCATGGTATGGCCTTGTTACTTTGGGTTATATGAATCAAAATTTATGCAGATTAAAATTGTAGTCAAAAGTCTTCTAAGGCCTCGGCCTCGAATCTCGCGGGTAGCGGGGCGGCAGCGGCGGCGGCACGAAAACGCATACATTTCTCCGTGCCCCCTCCCCTCTAGTTTGGAGAATAGTATGCGTTTCCGTGCCGCCGCCGCTGCCGCCCCGCTACCCGCGAGATTCGAGGCCGAGGCCTAAAGTATAAGGAAAACATTTATAGGCAACTTGATAAGTGGCATGGATATCATCAGATATATACAGATGGGTCTAGGAACAATGAAGCAGTCTCTATAGCTGTCTATGATAGTCAGATCAAAAGTGGATTCGGTCATAGGCTGAATCCACTTACAAGCATATACTCAGAGCACATTCAAACACAGACTCATCCTAAGTGGATTATAAGAACGGATAGTTTAAGTTTATTAACGGCACTACAAAATCCACAATTAAATACAAAAACTAACTATTTTATATATAAAATAAGAGAGTTGTATCACCTGCTGTCTCAAAACAAGCAAATAGTCTTATTCTGGACACCAGCCCACATTGGTGTGCATGGTAATGAGCAAGCAGACTATTTTGCTAAATTTATTACAAATCCAGCGAACAATCAATTAAGTCATAGCTTTTTAAATTTCCCAATTCTTATTTAAACGCTCTCTTCCTCTTCAAACTCAAGTTACAGAAAGAATTTTACAACTTATGGCATCAGGTGGTAAAGGTAAAAGGAAAATGGTTTGCTACAATAAATAAAAAGGTCTCTTCCCCCTGGTTTACCCGGGCTAGTGACTATAGCCATAGAAAGTATTATACCACAATCTGTCGTTTGCGTCTGGGACATTGTAGTTTTTTGGTGCTCACCTTTTTAGGATTGGTGTTTTTGACTCTTCAATTTGTAGATATTGCAATAGTGCTGATGAAACCCTCGAACATATATTTTTTGATTGTCCACAGTTTAGTATTCAAAGGATGAACCTTGTAGACCAACTTTTAAGTATTTTTAAAAACTGCTGAAGATATCCCGCGCTCCCTTCAGCAAATACTAAGCATTCAAGAATGCTTCTTGCCAGTTTATGGTTTTATTGTTTCTACTATAAATGAAATCTAATTGTTATATGCACATATGTATGTAATAATATTTTTTTCGTTTTGTTTAAGATATTTGTTTTTCACCTATTACAGCTATTTTCAGAATTTGACCCGTTTTATCGATTGTGACAAATGAATTGTACTAAAAATGACATTACAAGGACTTGACATTGAAAAATGACGGAATGAAAAAAAAATAACAAGAATTTGATACAAAAAAATATTAAAAAATGATTCAAGAAGAAAAATTAAAAGAAGATATGGCTTCGGCCTTAAAATTAAAAAAAATGATTTTAGAAGAAAATTAAAAGAAGACATGGCTTATGTCTGATATAAAAACTTGAGTCAAGAATAAAAAAAGATATTAAGACTAGGGTTGCCAACCGTACTATAATATGTAGAGTAGTAGAGAGTACTATATTTCGGGTCTGTGTACTATATACTGTTGAAAAAATATATAGTATGTAAAAATACTATATTTTCAACACCGACAAATCTAACAACCACATCTTTAATTAAAAAAAATAAGAACGCGCCTTTAAAGTACCCGATAGGCGATAACGTCCGAACGGTTGCGTTACGAATTTGTCAATGTCAAATTGACAACGTCAATTTTGACGTCGTCAAACGAGATTTTGGTCTGCTTTATTTATTTATCGGCAGAATTGTTTTCAATTAGATGTTGTTATTTCATTTGAATATTTCTAAATAAATTAAGTATAGAAAGTGGTAGTGATAATGTGCGTCAAAAAATAATGTGCGTCAAATTCTAGTGCGCTGCTACCGCCGACTAAAAAACGAAAAATAATAAAAAGACTCAAAATAAACAGAAAGGATATTTTCGGTTATGAATTCGAAGTGGCGAGAAGAAAGAAACAAAAGTAGTACATTAATAAAAAATGAGCTTTTGATTTATATTAATTTAAAAATTGAATGTGACAAAGCATATCACACTTTTATTTTAAACAAAAATCTGTTACACGGTGCAAGAAGTGCTAAAAAAATATAGTTTTTATAAAAATAAGTAATTGACAAATAAATATTCGTCTCTTTTTTTGTTTTTCCATATAAAATACTATATTTCTTTTAAATGTAATATATTTTTACACCTTTTTTTGAAAAATACTATATTTCGCTGATGAAATGTTGGCAACCCTAATTAAGACATTTAAATCAGAATATATTTTAATTAAGGAATTAATTGTTGTTTTTTAATTTTTATTTGTTTTGGTGAAAAGCAACATAGTAAAAAAAATTAATAAACCTACAAAATGAAAGTAAACTGAAATGACGAAGGTATACCAAATGTCCTTATATACCAATTTTCCTTATAAACCAAATGTCCTTATGTTCATTCAGTAGAATAAAAACAAAATGTTCATTCAGTAGAATAAAAACTTATAACGACATACATATATGATATTTCTGTATAATAATGACAACAGAAAATCTATTAATCACCGTGAAAACTAAGTAATTCTTGAAAAAAATTATTAATTTTACATATAAATTTCACTAAAAACCAGCCACTTTAATAAATTACTACAAGAAACTTCTTTGATTCTCTTCCATGACTGTATCATGAGTCATGAAACACATTTATAGATCTTGGACAGGCCCTTAACAAAAAGATATTAAAACTTATCTGCAGCTGTGGGCGGGATCACTTTTGTATTTGCCTGAGATTTCAGATTGATTCTTCAGGTCATTATCAAGTATTATCAAAACATGCTTATAATCCTCTCCCTTATGGATTTCATTTAAGAATTTTTACTTCATTTAACCACACAGATAGTGATTTCACAAAACAACTACTCAGACTTGGGAAAAAATTTAAAAACTTTAATAGTGTCAATATGTTATAAAATAATTACGTAAAGGTTTATCGTGGATTGTTTCCTAGAATAAAGAATTTGAAAAATATATTTTCGTATCCACAAAGAAAACATAATACATTTTATCTTTATAAACAAAGAATAAATGAAAACAAAATTATTTCAAATCGAATAAACTTTTTATTACTAATATAAGTAAAGACAAGTTCTAGGAAGTGCCGCCCCTCCCCTCCCCCCTTACTTTATACTAATGTCATATATTATTAACATATTATACGCTCCACTGACTACTTTTTAATAACAAGTTATCTTTATGAATGAAACTAATATTTTCGGATTTTACTTCGCGTTTTATTTTTGATTAAAACTACATACTCCCGACGTTTCGGCTACTTTTCAGCAACCGTGATCACGGGCAGACGAGATGTGATCACATCGAAGATGTGAGCGAAGTAAAATCCGAAAATATTAATTTCATTTAAATGTGTACTCGCGAAAATCTCATTATCTTTATGACACTAAAATAAAAATATTTGTCAGAAAAATAATTGTTAAATTAGGATAGCTCCATTTAATTGACTTTATACAACCACTTTCACCCATAAACGTATATCAGCAGAAGGAATCACAAATAATATTATTTAGATTCAAATACACCTCTTAAAGACTTTATATTAAGGCTTATTTTACAATCAAATTCAGTCAAATTTCAAGACTATTTGTAGATCTTTTGGTATATTAGTATTCTTTCCTGAAGACTTTCATATTAATAATATCTGTTTCAGGATAATTTACTCTGTAACATGTAAGGAGTTCAAATACAACGTCAAGAAGTTTTATGTAAAGTTCTTAAATGTAAAGATAACATTTATACTAGATACCGATTCCATTGATAGCAATAACTACAAATTACAATATTATTCCATTCAATTTAAATAGATCAAAATCTAGATTAATATTAGGGGATTTGGTATAGTGTCTGATATTGTAACAAGTTATCGTCAGTTGTAAATGTATTACAAATAAGAAACTTATAACATAAAATAATCACATATGATTGCTAATGGCACCAAGAAATACAGACTGAATTGTCACTTGAGTAATTATAAAAACGAATTAAAGCCTTAGAAAAACATATGTTGATGAATTGTAAAAAAGAATGACGTTGAAACTATTCCTATCGTCGGACTTCGTTGTCTGTTGCTGGAACAGCTGTGGTGGTCGTGGTGGTTGTGGTTGTGGTTGTGGTGGGGGGATCCAGTCCTTTGATCTCGAAGGGACCACGAAATAGAGGCCGGAAAAGTCTTAAGAAGGATTGATATCGCACTGCTGAATTCTGAAACACACATTATTAACTTTCAGTGGAGAAAAAAAAAACAATATTATCCTAAATGCTGCCGCAAAAATCTATACTAATATTATAAAGCTGAAGAGTTTGTTTGTTTGTTTGTTTGTTTGTTTGTTTGTTTGTTTGTTTGTTTGAAAGCGCTAATCTCCGAAACTACTGGTTTGAATTGAATAATTCTTTTTGTGTTGGATAGTCCAGTTATCGAGGAAGGCTGTAGGCTATATAACATCACGCTACGACCAATAGGAGCAAAGATATAGTGGTAAATGTGTAAAAAACGGGAGAAATTATTTTATCTTTGAAGCCTTCCGTTGCGTGCGCCGTGAAAACGGTTCAAGATACACAAAAAATATGTATGAAAAAATAATAGTTCTTTTAATGATCTAAAAAACAGTCCGCGACAGTATACGTCTATCTTTTAAGATTAACTCACAAAAAACCGTTTTTATGGTACCTAATTTGGTCGAAATAATTTGTTAAGTTGTATCAACATAATAATATTAATTTTTATTCAAATAAACAAATAAATATGTTGTTGGTAAAGAGTACTTCATTGTGAATAAAAAAAAACATAGGTTTTATCCTGAAATTCTACGGGAACTCGACCATTCCGAAAACCCCGCAAGAACGGGAACTATGTGGGAAGAACCAAAAATCTGCCGGAAGTCACTATTCCACGCAGACGAAGTCGCGGCAAAAGCTAGTTAGTGATAACTTGAAGGATTGCAACAACTTTTAAATATTTTCTTGTAATATATAAACACAATAGTTGAAGGTGTACCTGTATGACGTCACCCACTATCTTAGTGGTCCGGATGAGCAGCGACACGGACGGTCCAAACAGGTTCCCGGGGAAGTCCAGGCTGACCTTGTTCCGATCGAACACCGGGATGTCGTCGTCCTTCTTCACCTGGCGCACCTCTCTGAACGACCGCCGGCCCGCGGACCTCGTGCCCGGACCTGTAGCCGAACTCCTCGTACCCGAGGAAGTCAGGTCGGCCCGAGTACCCGCCTGAGTCTGGCTGGTTCGTGAACGTGAGGGCGTGATGGTATCCGCCGTATTCGGGCCCGGCTGTGACTGTGTGGGTGAGCGGTTGTTCAGTCGGCTGGACCAGTCGGAGCTGGGCGCCGTGGGCGTGAGGAGCGTACTCGTGGGCACCATGTTCGCCGCCGGGAGCTTCCACATAGCGCCACGCTGCGCCACACGAACAACATTATAGCATACTGTAGTACTTTTTATATACGGTCTCGCAACTTTTTACTTTGAAGTTTTTATTTAATTGTGTGGTGTAATGTCAAGCAAACCTACGTGTGTTATCAAAATGTATTATATTTCAGATCACATCCATTTTAATAATAATCAACATTATACGAAATTTTAAATTTCAATAAATAGCACAAATAGTGAGCTGTGACAAATTATTTTATCCTAGACATTATTTTAATAGTTCACAAACTGACGGTTTGCTCACTGGTCACTGTAGCTTTCAGGAATTGTTCTTCAGTTGGCGTAGCGACAAGTTGTAAAAAATAATTTAAGTTGTAAAAAACAGACAAGTTTTAAAAAATAATTAAGTTTTTTTTTATTTTTAAGTTTTTGGAAATATTTATATGTTAAGTGTAACGTAGAGTTTTATAAATCAATATTGTAAGGTGAATCTAAATTTACAAGACAATCAGAGTCACAGTAAAACTCTGACCGCAGAAGTGAAAAAGAACACGAGTAACATACTTGAACTACTACCTATGTTAGAAGTCGGAACATTTTACACTACTATTGATTATGGATATTAAATAGGGGGACTAATATTTATGTACAAAAAGATTTTTATACAAGCATATTATACACAAAAAATATTTACAAAGGATAAGAAGACGGAAAATAAAATAAAAAAATATAAAAAATTGTATCTGAAATATGTAATCATAGTTTCTATATTTACAATTAGGTTAAAAAGTAGTGTCTTAATCCTACAAGCTCGACCTTACATTGAATTATATATAGTTTCTCTACAATGTGTTAAGAGTATCGCGAGTGTCGAAACTAAATAGTCTTTGGTTTATTGACAAATTATTAGCAACATGTGAATGTGTCGTGTGACGCGAGCCTTTCCAATAGTGTTGCTTTAAAAACTTGACTAATTTATATTTGTTACACTCAATGTCGTTTTCGCTGTCTTTAAAAAAAATTAGAAGGTTTTATATTGGAAGGTGTATGTGTTTATATAGCACGTTCCCTTCTTTAGATAGTTATGTGTAGCGATCTCGACCATTCTTTCAAAACCCTATTCTAGAGTTTGTTACTATGTATATGAGACTTATATGACTTTTTGGCTTTGTTATGAAGATATGGTAAAAAGATAATATTAAAATTTTTTAAAACCTCTTTTTTACATTTGGGTTTTACCTTTAAAAAAAATATAATATTTTTGATCAAGGCCACTATCCAATAGTTTTTTAAATTCCAATCTAATTTAATTCAACGGCAGACAGATTATTTAAATATACAGGGTGACTGGTGAATTACTATCAATATTTAAGGAGAATACTCGGTACATGATTCTCATTCGAATTATGTAAAAAAAATAGGTACTTAATTTTTGACCAAATTTCCGTATAAATAAATAAAGTGTTGACACGTTCCAAGTGTTCCAAGTGTGGACGCGTGCGGCGGCGTGCTGATACTACACCACGCCGCCGCACGCGTATGTGTGTGTATACCTAATCTGTAGGGTAGTCACACGATGCGTAATTAATTACATAACTTTTGGTTAACTTTACTTAGAAGTTTATTAATATTTATGTTATATTAATTTTTATTTTGTCATATATGATCGTCAAATATCACGTCCTCAAGTATCGATAGTAATTCACCAGTCACCCTGTATATTAAATAATATTTAATTAAATTAAAAATCAAATATTACTAATCACGAAAAAGTATCGGCACGTAAGTTAATATTTCAAAGGTATATATGATACATTCATATATACATATGTTATGCTTATACAAGTTAATAAAAATATTAACTTTCATCGTCGTTCCGATCTAGTTAGTAATAAAACCTTAGTTCCATGTATGCCACATTAACTACACACACTGTATATCTACATATCTACAAACATGCACTACATAACTACTTCGTCTCTTGTTGTTATGTAAATTTTACATAACACAATGATACATAAACCCTCCTCACCGGTACCAGGTACTGCCTCTGTTCTCACACGCCGCTTCGGTTTGGATGTCGTCTGTACTATTTAGATATAATTTTGTTAATATAATGAAAGGATATAAATCAAAAGTGCTCAAGGGAGAGGTATAGTGCAAAAAAACAAAAAAATGTTCTTTTTATAAAATATTATTTTAATAATACGACCAACACTCACCTAAATCTATTTACATATAAATACAAAGCGTCGAGAGCGCAGGACAAAAGCGCAGGCGCAAACCGGGACTGTACAGCGCACCTGCCCGAGCTCCGGGCCGAGCCACGCGGTATGGAGATAGAGGCAAGAGACGAGCTGCGGGACGAAGAAGTGGCGCGACCCGGAGCTGCGGGCGGCTGGGGCGGGAGGTGATCACGAGTCATCCTCATCGGAGTCGACGGTCTCCACGGTGCCGCCGGCCGCCGCGCCGCCCGACGACGACCCCGACAGGGAGGTGACGAGCGAGAGGATGGAGCCCAGCCCGGAGCCGCCACCTGACCCACCGCTGTTCCCGGAGGACGCGCCGAACAGACTCGACACCGCCTGGATCTTGGGGCCCAGCAGCTGCAGCTTGGGCCCGATCACCTGGCCCACGATCCCGCTCAGGGAACTCAGGCCGCCTCCCTTAGGAGCCTCGATGCCGTACTGCTTATTCAACTCGATGTTTTGACGATCCAGGGTCTCCACCAGACGTGTCTTTGAATCGATTATAGAGTTGATTTTCTACAAAAACATTAATTGTTAAGACTACATCCTGTCAGCTATTAAACCCCACTAAACTATGATACTCACTCCGAACACGAAGCCGAGCACAGCGTTCTTGATGCCGAACTTGGCCTGCGTGATACCCTCGAGTTTGCGCTTCTCTCGAGCCTGTTCGTCTCCGGAATCATCCTGCACACACACGCACACACCCGTCACTCCTACTACTCTATATATATGTACCACATACACCACACTTTAACACCACACCAATAAACACCACACCAATGAGATGAGTTCCACCACCAAGCTGTATGTAGTTAGCATTTTGTTGAAATAAATGAATTCACAAATTCTTTCGTTTCATTCAGGTAGTCAATCTATTCTTATAAATATATATACAAATACAACTTTATTGTAGGAGTATTTCGTTTGTCATCAGCAAATCGAATCGGTCACGCAAACGGCATACATTATTGTGTAAAGGTCAAAGGAGCAATGGATATGTCTTTGATATACATATAATATGATTATGGCAGTTTTACATGCACGTCTGGAAAGGTATTTTTATTACAGCGAGGTCAGTAGCAAGTAGTTCAGATTGCGCAAGCGCGCTTCCGACCGACCGACCGACCGGCTGCGGCCTTTAAGACCCGAGCGTGTGGGGATCGCTCCACGGCCTTTGATGTCAATTTAACGCAACGGATACCTGCTAATGTTATTCGAAGAGGTAACGATGTTTGTGCAACGTCTTCAAGGTCATCATTCAGTTACGTATCGTCTTATAAACGCCAAATTTGTAAATTGAGGAACGAAAAAGACGTCGAAGGAAATATCTTTAATAAATAAATAAAACTGAAACGGGTAATAAAAACTGTTTCACATTTTATTAATGTGTTCATCATAGTAATAGACACTTCAGCTTAGTGTTTCTTTATGATGTAATTGTTTAGAAAAGCGTCAGTTTAATGCTAGTAATATATAATTGAAGGCAAAACGGCTTCCATGTAGTGTGTCGGGTCGAGGCCGCCCGCCTCTCAAACGCACTCTCCTTTACTTCTAATCACAGCTTTTTGTGATTTAATAAATATTACAGTTTAGATTATATTATGCAGTCTCAAATTACAAAATTAGTTTCCGATTGTAACTTTTAAATGTAGATTTAACTGTAACAAGTACCTAATAATAATCAAATATTTTTATAACTTTTTTTTCAGTATCAAGTTAAAGAAGAAATTTTATTTTTATAATATTTTTCCTCGAGTCCAGTGAAGACGTTCGTTAGTCTGAAGATTTAAGAGAATGAATAAAATGAGAGAAATAAATTAGTTGATCTAATACCTAGTGTATATTAAATAGATTATAGTGCAGTTTGAATTGAACTCACGGGAACCAATGCAAAAACATTTCAATGCACTTTCATAAGCACGTTATCTGACTTGAGCCGGTTCCAAGGAGTGGAACGTGAGTACCGGCGGCCGGGGGGGGGGGGGGGGGGGGGCACACCTTCACTTTCAATTGTTTCCGCCACGAATATATTGAATGTTTTGAACAATAAACAACTTAGATACTATTCATTCATTATGTACATTTTGTTCATCTTCATAATAATGACAACACCCGCACCGTGATCTTGTCGTATGTATTGTGATTGTCATCTTGTTATGAGTTTCTCTCAACATCTTAGATCAGATAATAACGTAAATTAATTGTTATTTTATATTTATCGGGTCAACTAACATCGTGTGTAAGTGAGAACGAACTGTTCCATTCATGATGAAATAACTATCATGACTGTATGTACTGACAACTCGTATCTGTCACACAGACATTAATACATTATAATGATTTTCTGTTATCATCAACTTCAGGTATCCTCTTGGCAAAGTCATATAAAACGTTTGTGTTGAAAAATGTAATTTTTGGTTTCTAACAAACATAGAAAACTATTTCTTCTTACAATCATTTATATAGACGCCATTTACTATTTAGTATACATGTAGTTATCTTATGTATTTTATTGTACATTGTATTTTTTATATATTGTTTTGTATATAGTCGCGACTGATATGAATTAGAAACAACATTAGCGAAAAAATTCTTTAGAAGACATTACACGCAAAAATATATCAAAAAAACAAACAAAATTCTAAATTAACAAAAAAAGGCAAACGATGTCTCAATTTTTTTTAAAGTTTATATGAGCCTGGTGAGGAGCTGGGACGTGATGAGAATGTACTGCGAGCGTCACACGAGGACGTGCGGTGTGTGTTGAAGATTACAGATGATGGAAACATTACACACGCGACTGATATAATAAAATAACTTGATACAGTCGCTACAACTATAACTGTTTATTAAAACCGTAGGTTGGTGATGACGGAAGTGTCCCGCTTTAATATGTTTCACGTTTGCCTTGAAGTGAATTTTAAATTTCAATAATTTGATAAAAAAAGTTCCAACAAAAACTTGTATGTATTAGTAGTCTCCTTAAAATATCATATAAATGTCTAGAGATGAATGGAATACTAATTGTTACGTATGTGAGGCGCTGTGGCTCGTCCAAGTAGTAATCAGCTTTCATAGTTTGAGATAGATTCTGACACACATACATACATATACAGTAACCTAACGCGTTCATATGATTTGTAAGGTTGTTAAGTGCGTGTTTGTTTAAAAATTTGTTTTGGAAACGTAAAACAAATTTTTGTAACACTTGATTTATTTCCAACGTAAATTCATGACTTCATAATACTAAAATCTAAGAAAAGTTTTCCATTTTAATGTTTTAATAAGATGTTAGTAACGAGCGACCTTGAATACATCAAAACCTCATTGTTCAGAGTGTCTTCAAGAGACGTACATATTTTGTAACATGAATGTGTCGGTGGAATGTCGTCAACTGCATTTCAAAATAATTGTTTGGAAAATTGTGTTTCGTGATGTGTTAAAAGCATATGAGAGGATCAGTTGCGAGACCGCAGACAGATGTTGTGTTGATACGATGTACAAGAGTGAACCGGACGCTCGGCCGACCGAGGGAGCTGGTGATGATGGACTGTCTGACATCTGTTCAAGTCTACATATGTTTCATGGACTTGATGAGTCTCGAGCAGCTCCCGGTTACATTTACTAAGACATTTTCAACATCTCTGTTGTAAAAAGTATTCATATTATCTCTTCTCTCCCCTGAGCCGGATTACAAGATGTGAGCCTCACTCGGGACTCAGTGATTAATACCCAGTACTTAGAGCAAAATAATCCTTGCTCTACTTATTACTTGTTTTCATTTAATAAACGTTTTTATATGCAGACTGCTGTTGTACGACCACTTGTAACTTTTATATGCAGCCTATGATAATCAGCTGTATAAAATAAACATAATGTAATGTAAGTAGTCCGTCTGGTAGTGTTGTCTTCAGTTTCCCGCAACACACCTGTTATTGAGTATTATTTGTATGATGGTGGTAAGCGAGGAGAAGCAATTGACTTGTGAATAATGAATACTTAATATAGTGACATGACAAGCACCGCTCAGACGAAATAACAGATCGCGACTAATGAAATGATATCAGTTACAACATTATTATTATATAACAATGTTTGGAATATTCTGTTAACATCTAAATCATTACTATCAATATTACTGTAACTGAATCTCAAATGTGATACAAAAATTCATATAAATTTATGACATAAAAATAAATTTAATAATGTATTTTATTATTAGATTCAATATATCCGATAAAATAAAAATGTGTTAATTTCTATGAATTATTATGGCCCTAGTCGCCGAAATGAAAAGTACACCATGATAGGCAAAGGCAAATGGAAAGTAAGTCGGTATATAGATATGAAATAGCGGAGGCATGACTCACATCGAGGGGCTGCAGAGTGTTGTCGTCCGCTAGTTGCCTGCGCACGCGCAGCGGTCCCTGGGGTGCGGCGAGAGCCTGGTGCACGGCGGCGAGGTGCAGAGCGAGCAGCGCGGCGAGCAGCACGAGGCGGGTGGCAGCCATGACGGAGCAGGGAGCACTGGAGCTGGCGGCCGCGGTGGATGGCTGCCGTGACTCGGAGCTGACCTGGTGGGGGGAGGAGGGGGGCGTGACGTCACCGGCCGGAGGAGCCGCGGCTCGTGAGCGTCCCGACATGTGGACCCCTCCAACTGTTAACCTCGAGGAAACAAGCTTCCTTCACTCACAGACGGTTTTGTGCAATTTTAAAAATCCAATCTGAATTCAAATCAGTGGTTTTCCTAATCCAGTCATAAAACCCAACTAATAATATTATTAGTTACTTCGTCAATCAAACACGAAACTGCAAAAACTATAGTTTTCATTTATAAAGGCAATTTGGTTCATTTACTCAAGGTGTTCTTCGCGTTTATAAAATTTATTTATAAAATAAGTTGAATCAAACAGCAACTAACCCTTGTGTTGACATTGTTTTTATGTTCTATTCCTACATCTCTAGGGATATTCTTCTGGCTTATCGTAAAATTCCAAGGCAGTTTATATAATGGTTGTAATTAATAGTATTTAAAGAAAATAAAACTTTGAAAAATACATAATTTAAAAGAGGACCTTCTGTATCTTACTGACGTATTCGAATCGGTTACGAAGTTTTTATTTTAAACTTATTTCAATTATATGAGAGGGGTGGTTGAGAAAATATTCTATGAGCATCAATAAAACTCTTTCTGCTCGATGTTGAATGACATTATAATTACTCACAAAATAAAACTGAAAACTTTAATTGAAGAAATATTTTTAAGTAAATTTAATGTATTATAAACGAGACATAACAAAAACCATTTACAATAATAAAGCGGTCGTTACAATTAACTCATTATATTGGATCGTTAATTAATGGTTTTACTTCATTAACGACTTCACTTACAAACATTATACAAGAACAGTCACTCGGCGCTCCGACCTCCTCAACTATTAATATTATATAATGTTTTATGATACAACCTATATAACTTGTACACTTGTCTTGTTATTGATTCATTTCGTTACATTGATATGTTTTCTCTCAAGTTTTTCTGCTGTTATTTAAATCTAAAAGGACTTTTATCAATAACATACAACAAAACTTAGTTGAGATTAATTTGTATAATCGATAGTATGTACATTACAGTTGTTTCGTTCTGTATGTGCCACAGACAGCCTGTACTACATACTCCGTGTACTCCACGTGAGAGGTCTCGTCTCATCTCGTCTGTGGTCGCGTGTCGTAACGTCGATCTCTGACCGCGGCGCGGCTCCTGACGTAACCGACCCACTGAGCCACATACCGATTATTAGTTAATAAAATATATTATCGATTATCAAATATTCCATCAATAACTCCACTACCTGTATTTAATAACACTATGTTCATCTGAACGTTCCGTTTTCTAATTCAATATTTCTTCCCGTACAGCCATCATATGATATATCTCTGCCTGTCTCCGCTAGATGTCGCTGACAGTCATCGGGGTCAATGGATGAAGAACCATCGATGTGTGATACAAACAGAACAGAAGAAATATTGAATAATATTATTGGAGCCAACAATAACTAGACAAAAAGTTATGAAACTTTGTATATAGATGTAATTATAATAAAATGTAAATACATAGTTAAAAATTATACAGTTAATACTTTTGGTAAATTAAATTTTAAAAATAACAATTCCTATCTGAAACAATATAATATTTAAATTGTTTTATAACTTATGAAACCTTTTAAACATCATCGTTCAATATATTTAATTCTCGTTCTAAGACAGTCGACCTCGCAATACACTTTAACTATTAATTACGTTCATTAAAAAACTTACATCTCATAAACAACTTAATTTGCAAAAGAAAAACGATAAATTAACATTATCATGCAAGACCCTCGCGTACATGTTGATGCAACCTGTCACCCGTCACCCGTCACCCGTCACCCGTCACCCTCCCCGTACAATCACAGTTCAATAACATTGAAACTGACAAATTGATTGAAAAAAATAACGGAAATTATCACGTAATGTGAGATTAGAAGATGAAAGTGACGCTCGATGATGAAAACAGAAGAAAATGAGAAGACGGACTTTAGGAGTAGAGACTCGGAGAAGAATAGAGAATATGAGTTACAACAAAGACAGGAACAAAACAAATTGATACACTCATTATTAGAAAGACTTTGAGAAATAAATAAGAATTTAGTATTAACTAATTAACGTGTTACATCGAAGGTGAGGCGGATCACGGACACTGGATTTAATAACGTTTACGAATGTGTTAAAAAAATAATGGATGAGCTTCATCTATTGAGAAACAGACGGCCGGGTGATGAAACATGAACAGAGACACGAAGAGTGAGGAGAGAAGAGAACTAGGAGAAGACAACGAACATATGATTCATTAAGAGAATCAAAGAAAACACAACATGTATAAGATACAACGAACTCACGAGAACAAAACAACACGTGGCCGATGAAAGACTTTTATTGATTCATTCATTATGAATCACAACGATGACTTTACAATCATTTAAACCTCTCACACTCATTGAAGGCCTCTCTTTACTATCAAGTTCCCTTTTTTTAAAAATATTTATTTGAATCAACAATTGTTGGAATGAGACTCTTTTTAGGTTCTCTCGTGAATTTGTAAGCTTCCCAAGACATTATGAACTGTGGCTGATTATGTAGCTATTATTAACTTTATTATTCTCTGTACTTTACTGTGGATAACACACACACACACACACACACACACACACACACACACACACACACACACACACACACTCACACACAAATACAAGCGTACATTCCTACACGTTACGAAAATCAGCAATCGTCCATCAATAAAGCTAATTCATTAAATTAGATATTCGTAGTTTTTAAACAGCACTTTTATTAGGTTGTGTAACAGCGCGCTCCTTACGTAACAATAGAGAATGTAAGATCCAGGAAATAATAATGAAATAAAAACATACATTAACAGAAACAGAAACATTACAACTACATATATATACTTTTGCTTTCATAACACGCACACATACACACACCCACACACACACACACACACACACAACGCTATATATTTCGGTGTTCGATATTATAAAGTGTGTGATGTAATTATAATGATATTAAACTGTCTCCAGCTCGTTACAAAAACAAAATAACATCGATTGTATGAGGCAACAGAGACACGGAGTGCGTTGATGTCTTTTGTATGGGGCTTTTATCTTCCCACAGTTATTGTCTCTCAGAGAATTATAGAGAATTCAATTTTTAGTTTACCTCCTGACCTCATTTATTGATTTATAATACGACTTATTAAGATAAGAGATTACATGAAACAAAAGGTGTATGAGTAGAAGAAATGAGAAAGAATTGAAGTTCATAATGTAATAAGTATCAATATATGTAGAGGCGTTAGACAGACAAAGACAAAGGTTTTACCATATTTTAAAGGTTCCATGTGCCGTCATTAATATTCTGTCGCCATAACAACAGTTTATGTAAACATTATCGCAAGCATCTCATAAATAAAATTATTTAAAATAACGCTAACTTGATGAAGCTATTTGTTCAAGGAGTCATGAATATACGAAAATACGACGAGATTCAAGAATAAGTAAGAATATATTTAAATATATTATAATAGTATCGATCGCGTGAGGTTCTATCATTACATCCGTTCCATTCATCGCTCCGTGTGTATGGAGCCTGTCCGACCAGCTCGCGGGTTGTTCTCCGCTCACTGTCATGAAGCCTGTGTGTAGAGTACATATACCTGACGCTACAGTTCAGGTAGAGTCGGAGGCTGTGTTCATTAAAACATATTAACGTGGTATTTCAACATGGCTACAATATTTGTCTCGTTTCAGAAATTAGAGATATAGTCAATCAGAAACGTGTCGGACGTTCAATGATGACTATAATATCTATATTCATAATAAATAAACAAGTTCACAAACAGTGGCAGGTTCGGGTTAGTTCGTTCATATTGGAAAACTTTATAATAACAGTGAGGAAGCCTTCACTGAAACCATTCTTATATTAGAAACAAAAACATTCACCGCTTAACCTAAACTAGCTAGAGGTTTGTTGTAGCTATCAATAAATCAGTCCTTCAGGTTCCTATAACCCGTGTATATTGTCTCCAGTATATATATTTCTCTTCGTATTACCAAATTATGATTTATGTTGAGTGTGAGGTTGTGTTCGCTAGATGCGGTCCGCGCGTGATGCAAGCAGCCTTGTTGTGTAACACAACCTTTAAGACTGTGCATCACACGGACCGCGGCGGCCGGGGCAGATCTTATCTGTCATTACATAAACTGACGGACTTTACTTAAAACACCTTCCATTAGAATAGATTACTAACGAACACAACTACTTACACTCACATGCGGCTCAATAATTATGATAAAACAGACACGTTGAACGAGAAACTCATTGTTATCAACTTGGAATATAAAACATACAAATATAATATATGCGTGTGACGTTTATTGGTATTTAAATCGTAATAAAAAATTGTCAAAATATATGTAATTAAATATTGAAAATGAAAAAGCCGGTTCCTTGACACAAGGAACAAACGAAAAAAACGCAATGTACTTTAATTTTGTGTTTATTATTTTATTATAAATTTGTAATTTTGTAAAATTTTACTTATTAAAATTCATATATATGTATATATTATATAGACGCACATACAAACATACATCGAAGAGACAAAATTGTATATGCATTATTAAACAACTCTATTACCTTAATAAATACCTTTGAAATGTAGGTTAGAAATATTATTTACACAAAATATGTAAAACATTAAAATGATTTTTAGCAAATGATATATAATGTGGTACATTACGAGGCTGGTGTTGACGTCGGACCGGTCGGTTCATACAACACCTTGTATAGTATACATGCATGTGATGTAGTAATATTATTATTAAAAAAATAACTTTTGGCCGGACATTGACTTCCGATGACGAAAACAAAAGACAAACCTCCAGGTGGACATATTGTTAGACTTAGAGAGACGAGGACCTGAGAGGGGGTGGAGGGGGGGATGAGGGGGGTGTCGTCGAACACAAACATACATACATAACGTCCGCTGTGATGAAAAATAAATAACTAATATACAACTACACAA